ATCATCTTGCTGCTGTATTTGGCATAAATCTGGATTTAGCACTCACTTGGGGCTTGTGGAGAGAAGCAGGTGCCATGAGGGCTTGGGGCTCTGATTTGGAACCCTTGATGGCACCTGAAAAAGTTATTTGAACAAAAAGGCCCATATCGTGGGCCTATTTGATGACCGATTAGCTCAACCACCTTGCTCCTAGCCTAGATGAGATCTAATAAGGGTTTAGCTCATTATTTAATATTTACTTCACAACCAGCAGTATCTTCATACTTTCTCATTTATAGTCATGTTTTCATTCATTTTAGCAATTCCCTTGTGACTGTCCAAATCGAGATTCTTTGTCCTTAAAAAAAAAAAAGAAGAAAAAAACCCCCCACAACTCATTAAGTTCTTTGACCCATATTAGTTGATGAAACTGTAGTCAACTCTTAAGAAAATATGACAGTAATGTCATTGCATCCTATATTCTTTATTGGAAAGCTTCTGAGGGATAATTTTTTCCTTATTCTGATTAAAAAAAAAAAGGTAAGCCTATGAGAAAAACCCCAAGATTATTTTCTCTATTTGTGTTACATCTGTTAGCTAATTGTTACAGACTGAATGCTTGTGTCCCTCCCAAATTCACATGTCACATTCCTAACCCCCAGGGTGATGGTATTAGGAGGTGTGGCCTTTGGGAGGTGACTGGGTCAAGAGGGTGGATTTAGTGCCCTTATAAGAGAGGTCCCAGAGAGCTCCCTCATCCCCATCTGCCATTTAAGGACTCAGGAAAAGGAATCAGTGTTATCTATGCACGAGGAAATGGATCCTCATCAGACACTGAATCTGCCAGCGTCTTGATCTTGGACTTCCTAGTCTCTAGAACAGCAAGAAGTAATTTTTTGCTTAAGTCTATGGTATTTTTTATATCAACCCTAATGGGCTAAGGAATCAATAAGGCATTACTTTTATTTCTATTTTTGCATTTGGAGTTTGGCCATCTACTATGACGCTGTTGTCATCGTGAGGCTTTTAAAACCTCTACCTCATCTTTGAGGACATCAGACCTTTATCCTGGTGTTCCTATGCAGAGACCATTGCTCTGCTGCCTTCCTGCTTAATCTCCCAGCCTCTGTATTTTATTCTCTAAAGTGGGAATGATACCTATTTTAGAGAGTTTTTCTGACAACTACATGGGATGCACTGTGCACACCAAGGACACTTCCATAATCCTCCTCTTCTTTTACCTACTCCATGGTCATCCCCCGCAGTGGGCTGGCTTCTTTTTGAGGATTTTTTCTCTTTTTATGATTGTGGGTGCATATCTTTGGTTCATTTACTCTACTGCGCATGTTTACACATATTTCCTTACTTTTCCAGTTTCAGATTTATGAAGCCTCCAAAAAAATGTTTTATCTTCCATTTTCACCTTCTGTTTTATGATCTTCGTGTCTATTTACTTCTCTTTCTTGGTTTTATCTCCTTTCTTTGTAAGGAGAAGCATTAAATAGAAAATATTAGTATTGGCTGTTCGTGGAAGAACTTTGTTGTTCACTAAAAGAGATTTTGGTTTCATAAATACTATGGGACATTCCAAATAGAGCCTGAAATCCTTAGAGCTTTAGTGAGCTTTCAGATCTCCAGGCAATAAATCTTACCAATGTGAAATGAAAATTGAGTCACACTTGTGTGTTTTGTTGTTGCTTTAGGATAATGAAAGCTATTGTGTTGTTTTTTTTTTTTTTAATTTTTTTTGGAGAGAGAGTGGGAAAGCACACATGAGCAGGGAGTGGGGAGGGCAGAGGGAGAGGAGAGAGAGAGAATCTCAAATAGGCTTCAAACTCAGCATGGAGCCCAGTGTGGGACCCTATCTCATGACCATGACGAGATCATGACCTTAGCTGAAACCGAGAGTCAGACGCTTAACTGACTGAGCCACCCAGGTGCCCCTAAAGCTATTGTTTTATGGCTTTTATGCTACTGCAATAAAAACTCTCAACCTCAGGACTCTTGTGTGGGAAGATCATCATGGAACCATCATCCATCTGTGTCAGTGCTGGTGGAATCTGACCACTGTTTTAAGGAAGAGGGCACAATGTGTTTTTCTCTGATAAGAAGTCTTTGTTTGTTGCAAAATTAGCTTAACATCTTGCTTTTGCAAAACTTTTTGAGGTCCATATTTTCACAGAAGAAATGGCATACTCACATGGAATAGCTATCTTTTATCCAAATTCTTAATAGACCCAATTTCTGAAGGCATTGTTCTAAACTTCCTATTGCTTATTTTGCCTATGCTTCATAAAAAAGAAATCATGTAGCAAAACAATAAAAAAAAAGCAATGTCTGCCTCCTTTTAAATTGGCATTTGCTTTTAGTAAGTTGATTCCTCTGGGCTCTTAGTTATGTTTTTCATAGCTCTAATAGGAACTTCCTAAAAACTCTTTTATTGTATCACGTATAAGGTAGATAACAAAGTTTGATAGCCCTGAAGGAACGTGCATTAAGTAATGCAGCTGGAGAGAGAAATGGAAATAAAGGCATGAGAAGATACTGTAAGAATGAGAGAGATTATATATACCCCAAGGTTCCTCCTTCTAGACTCTTCCCTGCTCTCTCCAACCTACACAGATTTAGGACAAATACAAATCACTTTCTTTTCCTGCTGTATTTGGCAGTATCTATAGGTTCTCTTTGAAGGTCAGATTTGAGCAGTTGAACAGGTGTGGATATACTTGGTTTCTAACAGCCAAAATTAGAGAACACTATTCAACAACATTCTCGAATTGTCAGTACTAGGATGATGACGTACAAACTATGTACACACAGACACATCACGGCATACAAGATAGCATGTTTAAAAATATTTTTCATCATTGTCTTTTCCTGATAGTTTTCCCCCCAAATATTTTAAGATGACCATGCTTAACTCTGTGCATCAAAATGTGAAAGTCACAGTTTGATAGTGTAACAAAGGATTAAAAGTTTACTTTTTTTAAATTTTAGTTAGGTTTGTGGGGTTTTTTAATTAACCTTTCGAATTTATAAATAGATTAAAATAATTAAGGAAACAATGAATTGTTTATGTGGCTAGAAACCAGTTCAGGCCTGCCATTCTGGGTGTGTAATTGGAGTCCTTGACTTACATATTTAACTGGAAATGCCCTGAGTATTCAGAGCCATTTCTTCAGCTGGGGAAAGGACAGATGTCCAGGCCATTATTGCTCGAGGAGGGCAATCGTTTTTGTCACCCCTCTCCTTTGATGCCTGGCATGCCTTGAACATAGTGGACAGTGATAGTTGTTAAGGTTTATGGAGGCTTACTAAGTGACAGGCGATGTAGTAAGCCCTGTGCACACATTAACTCACTCAGTCAGTATTTGCTGAGAATTGAGGGAGGGAAGAAATGAATGGTCCATGCTTCCAACACACAGCAGTGGCTCTGGTTCCTCAGCTAATTAAGTGGGCTTAGATATTTTTAGCGATTTCATTATTTTTTCTTCATGAGTGAATTTTGACAATATTCTTGACATCTCTTGACATTAAATATTTAAATTGAGTTGATAATGTTAAACAGTGCTATTTTCTGAAGTATTTGATGTTTAACGCTTTAATAACTTTAGAATGTACCACAGTCCAAGTTAAGAACTCGGTGGTTTCTCTTTGATGCCGCACCTAGACATTAAATAAACACGATTTCTAACAACATTGCAATGTGAATTAATTCAAGAACTTTAAAAAAATTCCCATTCAACCTAATATCATTATCATCTGGAGAACACATTTATGATTTGTAATTTTCTGATGATTAAACTTCTTTAAATTTGATGTTCTCATATATCATTAGAATGAACATACCACTTATAAAATAGTAATTATTCATAGCACCCAAGAATTATATCTGTTTTATTCTTTTATTATGAAAACTGTCCTCAATAAATCAACTTAGATTAATTACAGACTCAACCTGATTGAACAACATTGGTAAACTATTGTGGATTTTTATAGTAATTATATCATACAAATTTTACTAATGTATCATATGATTATTCAAAACCCAGTGGAGGGTGTGCTACTAAAATCCTCTCATTTATCGCCAGCTCCTTGCTTCTGGTTGTAAGTACTTATATACACTTAGAGAGAAACACAGAGTCAAACATACATCTACTGATTTTGTGGGGTTTTTATCTAGTTTCTGTGTTTATCTAGTTTCTCTAGAATTCAGTGTTCTTCAAAACAGGAACTATGTTCTTTTGATTGTCATAATTAGTGGTGAGAACAGCACAAAATGAGTGAATGCTATTTTGAGACTGTTTTCTTTTCTTTTTTTTTGGTGTAGAAAGATGTTTATGAAATTCTTTATATGGTTTGGTTTGTTAGGCTTTTGTAACATATTCAGATGACTTATTTAGTTTTGACTTACAGCCAAGATAAAATGGAGAATTTATATATTTTAAGTAAAGTTTTCTTTTGGGGTATAGACTCATTATTAACTGCTAAACAAACATACGTTGCTAACCATATGCTATATTTACCACTTTTGTAAAGGTAATATTTAGCTATATGTCTTGAAATATTGAGAGCATCTGTTATATGAGTATTCTGTGAAAACATTTATACTCTGTCATTGGTTGATGATCCACTTCAATTTTTAAAAAAATTCTTATTTTTATTTTGGAAAATGTCTAAGGGGATTACATAGCTGAGTAAAATGTGATTTTGTTAAAAGGCGATGGGAAATTTTTGTTTTGTACTTGTGTTGTTTGAACAGAGCCTCTGCAGTAGAGTAAAACAAGTATTTCTAATATATTTTAACTGCATGTTAAACTGATTCCCTATATATGTCCTTAATTGCTGAAATTTATACTAATCTAGATCACTTATAACACCACTACCCAGATTTTACATGGCACTGAACATGGCATTTCATTTCAGAAGAGTGTAACAGAGCATGAAGTCCCTTGGGGGCTCGGGAGGGGTATTTTGAGGCTCGCTTTGAGGACTCTTTGTGTGTGTATGTTCATGTACAGCGCCAGTTCTTCCCGGAGCCTACCAGCAAAGCCATTCCCAAGGCTATGGGTACATGCACCAGACCAGCCTCTCATCCATGAGGTCAATGCAGCACTCACCAAATCTAGTAGGTATCAGTTTGAAATGTTTCCTCTTCCCTGCTCTTCCCATTTTATCTCCAAAATAGAAATAAAAGTAGAATAGACGTGCATTGAATAGTGTCCATTTTCGCAGAAAGGATAAATGACAACATTTTATTCTTTGTACCCTTTCGAAGAAAGCAGAAGACTTATAGAGGTAAACCACTGAGAAAGGAAGGCATGCTGTGAAAACATGTAAAGAGTAAAACATACAAAACGACTGTCTCAGAGCAAGATCCTAGTTGTTACTTCATGATCGGTCTTAACCAACTGTGATCTTCATTCGGGTCTAAAAAGTACAAATATCTGGTCACATTAACCAGTTAATTTTGACAGTAATCAAAATGGCCATTAACCTCCAAATGACATGGCCAACGTAAGTCTTTGAATCCTCCTATTAGAAATCTTGAAGTGCTTACAGATTCATTAATTAAGTGTGAAGTTTGGAAGCAGTGCTCGAGGTTGGATGGGCATCTCAAGCGAAATTATTTCTCCAAGCTTCTGTCTGACACAGAAGCCTTAGCCTGAGCCCTGAGACAGAGGTGGTCCTTCTAAGCAGTTGGAAGTTCTTTTTAACTGCTCTAAAGTTCTTTTTGCATCTGCCAGTTTCCTTAACCCGTGAATTCTCTTAATTTTGAGACTGATGTTAATATTAACTGACTTCTTGGTCTTTAATGAAAACAAATATGGTAAAACTCCACTTATATTCTGGCTATGAACCCCTTGTTGGACACATGATGTGCAAATATCTTCTCCCAGTTGGTAGGTTCATTTCGTTGATGGTTGTCTTTGCTGCACAGAAGCTTTTCAGTTTGATGTGGTTGCACGTGTATATTTTTGCTTTTGGTGTCAAATCCAAATAATCATTTCCAAGACCAATGTTGAGGAGCTCACCGCCTATGTGTTTTTCTAGGAGTTTTATCTTTTTAGGTCTAACATTCAAGTCCTTAATGTATTTTGGGTTAATTTTTGTGTATGGGGTAAGAAAGTGGTCCAGTTTCACTCTTTTGCATGCAGCTGTCCAGTTTTCCCAGCACCATTTATTGAAGAGACTGTCCTTTCCCCACTGTGTGTTCTTGGCTCCTTCATCCTAAATTAATTGACCATATATACGTGGGTTTATTGCTGGGGTCTCTATTCTGTTTCATTGATCTGTGTTTTTATATCGCTACCAGAGTGTTTTAATTACCACAGCTTTGTAACATAGTTTGAAGTTAGGAAGTGAATAATTTCCTCATTATAACAAGGATTCAGTTATGTGTCCCTCAATATTCAGACATTTACATACTAAATGTCTATCACTGATTCAGAAACCTACAAAATAAGTATATTATATATTTTTCTTTTTTAAATATATTTTTAAGAGGAAACAAAGTTCTTTGTTCCTAAGAAAAATTCATTTCCTCTGTCAGGGGGGCCAAGGCAGTGACTTGGCGGTGACTTGGCTCCATCTGTCCCTAGGGCAGTTTTTGTTCTCTGAAGAATGTGGAATAGGGGAAAATCTACATAATCTAAGGTCTCTGGGGTTATCTGGAGCTGGGGGAAGTTGGTTTTACTGCTTCAAAGCTTACTTTTTCATGGGCCAGTTACCATATCTAGAGGCTTCCTCGAGCCCCATTCTGGGCCCCCCAAACATTACCCGTTCTGCTAGCGTGGTAAACTTGAGATGGACGCAACCAGGAGAGATGCTAGGCTTTGTTGGCCAGTCTCCAGAAATAAATACACTTGGGAACATTCCTCCTGGTTCCTTTATTATATGGTTTGTTGGTTTGTTGTGATTGGCATTTGTGGCTGTATTATTTTGTATCCATTGTGTGACCACCCCCCCCCTTTTCCTTTCTCAGAGGACCTACCGAGCCATGTATGATTACAGTGCCCAGGACGAAGACGAGGTCTCCTTCAGGGACGGTGACTACATCGTCAACGTGCAGCCCATTGACGACGGCTGGATGTACGGCACGGTGCAGAGAACTGGGAAAACAGGGATGCTCCCAGCCAATTACATTGAGTTTGTCAATTAATTATTTCTCCTTGTCTTTGAGCTTTATTCTAATGTATACTAAACCCAATCTTTTTAAAAGATAGAAGATACTTTTAAGACAACTTGGCAGTTATTTTACAATAATCTGTCTTTACTTGGACAATGAGACACACAGGTACCAGGAAGAAGGAATGACTTCCGGGCTCAGGACAGCTACATTTTCAGTGGTTCCTGTGCACAAAATCTGTAGGTCTGGAGGCCCGGTGCTGCTAATTGGGTTAATGGTTTCTTTTGATTGGCTATCAAACACTTCTGGGAAATGTATTTTTGTAGACTTTAATAGAGATGTTGATCGTCCCTTAAATGTAACAAGTCTATGAAACTTCTTAGCTGTCACTTTGGAATCACCAGAAGCCAATTCTCTTAATTCCTGAACACAGCCAATAATTTAAAGACCATTTAGCTTTTGAGTCATTAGGGAATTTCCAATTCAAGTGATAATTGCCTAATGTAATAAATGTCAGAAATGGCAGAATGACAGTTTGGTTAAAATTACATTGACTGGTGGCCTTCAGGACCTAGAAACTTCTCCCGAACAAAGACATTTCCTTGTTCCCTAGGCTGACTTGGGTCTCTTTATTTCTCATTGGTACCAAGGTGTATCCTACTGTCCATTTACATTCTGTGGGCCCAAGTCTACGCTTGATTCCATAGAATGTCAGGACCAAATAACGTCACAGCTACTCTGCAAAGGGCAAAGTTTAAGGTCATCTCTATTATTTCCCTAAGCGCTTTTACCCTGTTGCATGTCACGTAGGTTCAAGCTTCTGCACCATAGGAAGCCGCACTGCCTATTATTAAAGCAAAACGTGCGGCTGATAAGCTAATGGCCCTTCCCTCTAGTCGCCAGCTCATCAGAAAAACATACTTGGAAAAGTTGCTTGAGATTCTCCTGCTGCCTTGCACTCTAGTTGTGAAGGATTTACACCTTTAGGAAATAGATGTCTACTCTAGCAAATAAGTGATTTAGGTGTTTACCGAGCAGCTTTCATTAACTTAATGCCACTGTCGATTTAAAGGTAAAGAAAACTTAATAGGAGCCAGTGACTACAAAGTGTGCAAGAGACAACCAGTGAACAAAATGTCACCCCTCCGCATAGAGATAATTGTTGTTTTGTTTTGTTTTGTTTTAAATTTCGGAAAATGCTATTCACACGCGGTACTGGAAATCTAGCCACTGAAACCAGTTAATGAAAAGACTTCTTTTCTACTTTCTTCTGGTTTTTACTTTCTCAACCATATTGTGGAGGGGAGGGGTGGGAGGATGAAAATGCCGGCAGAGATTTTAGGTCTAGGCCCAACAGGTTGTTCCCTAAAAGAAATTGTTGTCCTATCTTGAATTTCGAATGCGAGACCCTGCAGGCACTTCCTGGATTCACCACTATGCTGCAGCCCTTGCTGGCGGGTCAAGACGATTGGCCGGTAGTTCATAGTCAAGGTCACTGGAGAAATTAACATTCATCAGCGACTCTGTGTTTTCCTGATGTATTTGGACCTGAGCAGGGTAGCATTTGTTTAGGGCCTGACTCTGGAATTGTGATGAAGCTGCAAAAGCAAAGTTACAAAAATGTGATAAAATGTATAGATCTTGGGGTTATCTCCCTTATGTAATATAGGCAAAGAAATTAACGAAATATCCTGTAAAATACCTTTTATGGAAGTGTTTAGGAGTCCAGAAACAAATGCTAACCCATTTACACTTTTGAAAAGTTAGCATCTACTTTTTGAAAATCTAGAGTTTCATTTTATCTGGCTCAAAGAACAAATAAGCTTCATTACACTTAGGCTGCATCTACAGGACACTCACATAAAAAGAGATGAGAGAAATTCAGGTAAAAAACTAGAGAGTTTTTTGAGTTTTTTGTTTTTGTGGTTTTTTTTTTTACAGATTCCTACATACCCAGCTGGACTGATTTTCTAGTATTGAAATGGCCAGTTATGATTAAATTAACCCCCTATCTGTTTTGATGTCTTGTACACAAACCAACAAAGACAAGCTGAACTTGTGACATTCTTGCAAAAAAAAAAAAAAATTCTGTGCATTAAAACTGGGGCAATAAGCTTGCTCAATTTTATTATATCATTAAGTAAATATTTTTCACCCAGACCACTTTTTTTGTGATTATGAAAAAGAGTAGTTGTTGATTAAATTTGCAGACTAAATGTAGGACAGGTACAATTTTTGAGAAATAGCACATTTATAGGAAGCTCAAAGGGAATGGATTTGAAATGATACTTTTTATCGGGGAAAAGTCCCATAAAGTAGCAGCTGGTTGTTCCATTGTCTTTCTTATCCACTAATTTCAAAATCAGATTCATGGAATGTAGAAGTCAGTAATTACTAGGGGAATAATTCTAAAATTTTAAGCTTAGCATAATGTTTGCATAGCGAGATGTTTCTGCTTCCAGCCTCTAGGAATTAAGGTCTGCTCAGAATTTAACCAGAGAGCAGTTATTTTATGATAAAGACTGCGGGAGAACATGATGTCACATGCTCCTGATGCCATAACTGGGTAGTGTTGCCACTGTTCCTAAAGCTTGTCAGGATATTGAGCATCTCAGCAGAAATATCGGAAACATGTATGTATAATACCAAAGTGCTATTTTTACAGCATCATTTTTCAAAACTATGTTCTTGAACACTTTTTCCACTTTGCACATGACCCTCCTCCCCTCAATTTGGCAACATGCATCTCATACATAAGTAACACTAACGGCTAAAGAAGGGTGTAAATAAAAAATCTGTTTTTTAGAAATCAAGCTAAAGACTGAAGTGTCCAAGCACAGAGAACATGCACCTGATTCTCTGAACCTGATGCGTTCTCAGGCTCGATAAAAGCACATGGAGCAGGTTGATAAGTTTTTACAAGTTTCCAAAAACAAAACTGTATGTGGATCATCTCTTGAGAGAGAAACAGAGCAGCAGAATAGATGACTTTTGTTGTAAGTTTTTGTAGTCAATGTTTTTACTAATTCTCGTGCTCTAAGGAAAGCTTTCTATTTCTAACGTGGCAAAATGAGTTCTTCACGTCTTCTTATTCTTGTTTAGACACCCGCAGTGTAGCCAGTGTGAAATATTTATCTGGTTGTCAGATCCCCACGCCATCCCTGCCTCTCCCCAGGCTTCCCCACCTCCAGAGACCACACGGGAATTTGCAAGCACAATTTCTATGGGCACCTTGTATGAACATGGTTGAGATTAGACCAGCCTTTCTTCGTCACTAAAGTTCATTGCTTGAAGATGACGAAGATGCAGTTTGGGCAGGTTGACCACAGTCTTTCCTCCCTGTCCTTTCCTGGTTGAGCTTGACAACAGTCTGGGAGGTGGGGAAACAGACTTTACTAGAACAGTGAAGTTCAAGAGGTGCATCTCTTTTTCAGGTGTGTTCACCTCTGGTGAAATGTTTTTAATGAAAAGATAAAGAAAATGGGTGTGATCCTTAAATAGCGCATCCCTATATAAAGTGGATATAGTTTATACCAAAATTATAATATAAATATATTTTTAAAAAGGTGCCTTTTTGCTTACCCTTGTTTATCCATGATGGTGTTGGAAAGAAAACCAAGCAAACAAGCTTCTTATCTATTTATAGTAATATTTTATTATACATGATTGGTATTTTTGTGGTGGGGAAGTGAGATACTCCTGACAGATATGAAAGGTGATAGCTGATTGTATTTTTACCTCTAAAGATGTAGAACTTTGGAAAATACTGACCTTTCCCATCTATTTCTGAAAAGTTCTTTGTGGATTTATATATAGTCAGGATGCATAAACATTAACTTTAGGTTTGAGACTTAAAATACCTATTGTAAGATAGAAGAATTATGTTATGAGGGTGAATTCATTACACAAGATGAAATTCACTTCATAAATTTCATTATACCTTAGCTATATTTGCTTCTGATAATCTAAAAGCGTCTAGAGGGTGGGTGTTTTGGGTAACGAGACACAGAGGAGAGAAAACTTCAGTTAAGTAAGAAGCTATGTAAAGTAAGTTGAGAATGCTAAAAGGAAAGTCTCTTTCTGAAGTATTCCATGCCCATTAGGATCCTTTCCAGACTGTCAATTACTGTATGATGTTTCTGTGGCCATCATTTCATGATGCTTAGACTACTGGAATCCACCAGCCCGGAAGGATCCCCAAGGCAGATTTCTCTCCGGTTGTCCAGATTACTTCCGTATATTCATGGAATTCCATATGCTTTTTGCGTTTGATACATGGTATCCAGTTGGCATATTATCTACTTCTTGGTAATCCAGTTGCTGTTAAGAATGATTGACTTTGAAGGAAAAGAGAAAACTGTATCCTAGTCCCATTCTTCAGTGTCCATACAATGAATGGCTGAGCATTTAGAAGTGGCACCAAGCGTGTTGTGGGTTTGGTGTGGAAACGTTGGCCTTTGACCTGTGCTAAGAATACAGAATTGAATCATTGCACAGCTTGGCTTCTGTCTGCTTCAAAAATGTAGGATTGTGGTTGATGATGAACTTGCAAGACTGTACTAACTTTGAGAGCATACAGTTTTAATGGAAACACTTAATGTTTTTAAAATGAATGGGCTTATAGAATGATACAATGTTATTAATATAATTTGGCTTTTGTTATGCAAATTAACACCAGCTTTTAAAATATATTTTAGTAGAAATGCTTTAATTCATGTTTTCTTTCCTCTACACTGTGAATCTTTAAGCCTTGGTGGACTAGAGCAACATCGTGCTGCCCAAAGGACTAACCTATGCAAACTAGTTCACATTTTAGTGGATGTCACAGTAATTGTGTAATATGACATTATTTCCCCCCTGCATAGTGTACAGCGGCATTGAAGTAAACATTAAGCCTAGCATCATGTATGTATAGTATAGTCACTCACGAACCCTTCAAGGCTACTATAATCATTAGTACTATTATTTGTTTGAAAGCAAATCGCCGAGTTATCTATTAAATCTACTTGAACGATGTCAGAACAAGAATGGCAGCTGGACGTGTCGGCCGTGGCTTCAGTGTGGTCACTGACGTGTTCTCCTGTGATAGAGCTGTGTTCGGATGCACTCTCTTCAGGGTATTATTATTCTGTGTCTTCTTTCTGTATTTGTAAAACATTATAACGCTCTAATTTTCCTATCTCTACACATTTGGTTTGCTTAAATAAATGCAGGATATAACAAAATGATTCTATGTCTTGGTTCTCACCTTGGTTTCTTGGAGCTTGATGGTGTCCCGGGGATGAGGTTTATCATGAAAACTCACATTAAATCACATTGGAGACCTCTGCTGTCTTCGGTGTACTTCCATTAGTGAGTCATTCAAAATGTGTCTTCCTCCCCCAAATAAACTTAGTTTTAAATGATAATAATATTATGGTTTTCAAGCTCAGTATCTTTCTGATTGTATATCAGAGTACTACGATAATACAGCATTGTAGTTCACTTCTTTCAGGATTAAATTCCTCATATGTTCCCAATAGTAGAATTTTAATTTTCTTGTAGTAGTGAGATGAAAGAAACAGCTTGAAGCAAAGAATAGAAAATGCACAAATTGAGTACATGAAACGGGGAGATGCTCTGATTTCTCAGCTAAGAACAGCTCATTTATCATAGAACATAAGCGCTTTTATTCCCCTAATTTTCGCATAGTTGGAAAAAGTAACTTAGTCCCTATTTTTACCCTACTATAAATCTATTGAGACGAGGATCTTAGCCTTACTATATTATTCTGTAGAAGTTCCTCTTTGTTGGTGCATAAACCTTCCCAATTGTAAACTGATGAACAGTATGGATGACACATTTATTTTTTTTTAATTTTTAAAGATTTTATTATTTTTTCATAGAGAAAAGAGTGTGTGCTTGTGAGAGAGAGAGCACAAGCGGGGGGGAGGGGTAGAGAGAAAGGGAGAAGTAGACTCCCCGCTGAGCAGGGAGCCCGATGTGGGACTCGATCCCAGAACCCTGGGATCATG